CTACTTTGTTTCTACAACACCTCGTGAGTCTTTACCTGCAGGTAAAGCACTTAGCACGGTGCCTGGCACATAGCCCTGAATAAACCGGCTGCCCAGCCCTCCGAGAGCTGGTACAACCCACCTGCTCTTGTCCTCTCTATCCGCCCTCCTGCACGCGGCCACTGCAGCCGGTGGACATGCTTGCTCTTCCCTCTCTTTGCCCCACTCGAGCCAACCAACCGCCCACCACGCGGGTCCTGGGCCTGCCCTCCTTCGAAGTCTTCCTCCAGTCCTGCTCTTCTAGCAACTGTCCTTCAACACTTCTATTTTGAGTTGAATTGTGTCCCTCCAACAAAGATATGTTGGCATCCTGACCCCCAGAATCTGAGAATTACTTGGAAACAGGGTTGTTGCCAAGTTGGGAGCAAGGCCGTTTCATGGGTGTGGACTCCTGCAATCTGGGGGGGCCCCACCTTGAGCTTGGGCCTCAGTGCTCTGCAGTCACCATTTTGAGGTTCTTCATAATTTTATCTTTGAACCTGTCTTTGGTACGTGAAGTCTGACAGGCCCTTGGCTCATGCATGGTCCCACCTCCCACTGCCTGCTGCCTCCTGGGGATGGGTTCCAGAATGCTCCATCCTCTTGGTGTCCCTAGTGTCCAGCTCCACCTGGCCTCCTGTCCCCACCACCTGGGTGTTCGGTGCAGAGGGTCACCTTGGAATGTGTGAGACTGGCGGTGTCTCAGGGTGGACACAGTGGTGGGGGAACAGCTGGCAGGACAGGAACCCAACAGTGGTGGGGCTGCTCATTGGCCAACTTATAGGGCAGAACCCCCCGCCGGGGTCAAGGTCAATGTTCAAGGTCGTTGTGCCCAGCACAACGGGACATTCAGCAGCCAACAAGATGCCATGACAGGCCAAGGCAAGAGAGCCATGGAAAAAGGGAAAAAGCTTGTGTACTGTAGCACCTCCTCTAGCCCCAAGTTTTCATTTTGTGCAGCCCACGAGCTGCTGTGGCTGGCCTTGCTTGGGAGCCACGGAGAGCCACGGAGAGATGCTCCAAATGTGGAACTGATGCATGGATCCGTCAGCTGCAGCCTGAGGCCATTTCTGGTGGCTTAGAACGGGACAGGCAACCTCAGGAAGACACAGGTGTTGGGAGGTGGTCATGCTCCCCGGGGGGAGGGCGGTCCAGCCGCCAGACCTCACACCTTGCATGCAGGGTCAGCCAGGCTGCTCCTGCGGAGATGGGGGCAGGTGTGTGAACCTGGATTCCACAGCCCTGGGCATGGGCACCCCCCAGCCTGGCGCACCCCCCAGCTCACCAGGCATGTTTCTGAGGACAGTTTGGCGGGATGTGGGATATGGGGGGCGGTGGCGTTCAAGAGAGGAAGTGAGACTATACACGGGTAGCGCGGAGCTTTGGTCTCACATGAAGTTCCTTTCGGTCCTGGCAAACAAGCTGTTCTGTCCTTGTTGACCCCCTACCTCCACCGCCAGTACCATCACCCTGTCCTGGGCTTTACTGTTGGCCAGGATGCCCACAGGGCTGCTCTTTGCCCACACATCTTACTTCTCCTTGTTCCGAGGACCCTGGAGCCTGGGATCTCTCACACATGGGACCCTTAAACATTTAGGCTAAGGGATGTGTCATGCTGTGCCTTCCCCCAAAGCACTGTGTGTGGGCTGAGCCTTGTCCCCAAATCCACATGCTGAAGTCCTAATGCCCGGTGGGACTGTCTCTGGAAATAGGGTTTCTAGGAGGTAATTATGCGTGAACAAGGTCCTGAGCTGGTAGGACGTAGCTTTATAAGAAGAGGAGGAGAGCTCTCTCTGCCATGTGGGGACACAGAAGGTGGCAGCCCAGAAGCCAGGAGGGGGCTCCCCAGAACTTCACTCTCAGATTTGCAGCCTCCAGGGCTGTGAGATACAAGTTCTGCTGTCCCTGTCTATGTGGCTTTGTTCTGGCGGCCGGAGGGGACTGCACACACTGCCACCTTCTCTCTGTGCTTTAGACCATTGGCGGAGGCAACACAGGTGCTTTTAGAATCATCTGAAGCATCCCTGGGAAGCTGCTGGTGGGGCCAGGGAGCACTTCCTCAGCCCGAAGCCACCGTTTTGACCAAGTTTAAACATGAAAGTGTCCATGGGAAGCCAGGCCCCGGGGGGGTGACTCGCCCATGGCCCCAGTGGGTCACCGAGAAAGCCAGACTTCTCTTCCTCACTTGGGCATCATCTCCCTGCAAAGGGCCAACCACCATTTTGAAAGTGAGTCACGAAGACCTCATGATATCATTCCCTAGGCACAAATATTTAAATACGGGAAGATAAATAACTCCAGTGTGACTATTGAAAGCCAGGAAATTCAGGGTGTAATATTGCACACCTGGATGTCTAATTTGTTTGCTATGCTGACCAGAGCAGAAAAAGTTTCCATGAGAATATTTGTGCATTCATAAGCAGTGGTAGAAATACACGAATCATCATGTGTGCATCTTGTAGTTAAAAGGAAAAGTCTGTTTCATGTCAAGTGGGCTGGGGTCCTGTTTTCTTCGTGTGTTCCTCCGCGGTGGAGCATCCAAAGGCATGGTGCAGAAGAGGTGCTCTGGCTGGGCTTCCCACATATGCTCGCTCAGAAAGAGCAAGTGAGACTATACCATGGGTAGCACGGACACATGTCTGTGGTGCGGAGTAGCCTCATTCAGAAGTGTGGGGAGCTTGCATGCTGACCACAGAAGGGCAGAGCCGTGTTCATGCTGGAGGGTCTCCCGGGGAAGCTTTGATGACGCGGGTGCCAGCCAGCCCGTGTCAGCGGGCAGTGCCCTGGCTGTGAGCCAACCCAGGTGTTTGGAGAAGCAGAGCTGGATACTGGTTAAAGGCTCTGGGCAGATTTTATTCCATACTGCTGTGGTGGGGAAGGAGCTGAGCTCAACTCTGAACACAGGCAGAGTTGGGGTTTACCACCAAGGGAGAGGGTGGGGTGGGGTCCATGGATGGAAAGCCACTAAGAGGAGACCCCAAGGGCAGGGGATTGTTGCTGAAGGTAAACCAGGTTGATAGTTCGAGGATGCAGGACTGGCTTAACAGGCAGGGGACAGGGAGGGTCGGGAGAGCCACCAGGCCAGAGGAGGACTCAGGAGAGTCTGATCATTAGACAGGAGGACATGCAGAAGAGACTGCTTCAGTTTGGGTGAGGACTGGATGATAGGGCAGAATAGAGGTCACAGACTGTTTAGAGTGGTGGCAGAGTGCAGGGAGAGGGCGTTGGCAGGTGTGGGGGGGTGGGGCGAGCCAAGAAGGCCCTCATGTGGCTGTTCACAAGCATCAGGAGTGGGAGCACTGTCCCCAACTTGGCCGTGGTTATCTAGGGCATAAAGCTGATTAGCAGATGCCTGGAAGGAAGTCCAGTATGAACTGACCTGAAGCGTCCCAGCTAGGATTAGGGGCGCCTAATCCTGGTTCTGGACTCCATGTGTGGCTGTTCCTGCGTTAGGTGGGGGAAGGTGTGTAGGAGACTGGGTTCCAGCAGCGGTGGGGGTGGGGGGGTGGGGCTGTGCCTCCATCTGACTCTCATGGCCCTGTAGCCCCCTCCCACCTTAAGGAGTGGCCAGTGGGATGGGGTCCTAGGCCAATGACACAGGCTCACGTGGCAGGAAGGGCCCTTGAAGACTGGTGGAGCTGGTGAATGAGCTGGACTGGACTGGTGTCCCTTGCTGGCCCCAGGACTTCTTGAGGGCAGGTCCTCTCCACATACACACACACATAAAGTAGCCACAGGAGGGTCCCTGGGGGAGAACGGGTGTTCCCCCAGATCGCCCCTCCCTGGAAGAATGCCCAAGCTTCACCACCATCTCAGGAAGGCTCCCACAGCAGGACGCAGTATTTATACAAATACCTGGAAATTTCCCCCGTGGGAGGGTGTCACTAAAAGAAATGTCCTTTATTTTCACTGTTGAGATAAAAGGAAAAAAGCCCAAACAGGTCAAAATAGTCTCGATGACATTTAGAATTTAGGGGCATTCCATTCTGCCTGAGTTTTGACAAAAGTCAGACCTCCACGTGCAAGGGCTGCCTCAGCCATTTTTCTCCGGGTCGCCTATAAGTTACCCAGGTGCGCTGCCCGGAGGGGCCTGGGTCCCACAGAACCTCATCGGGCTGGGATCCCGCCCTTATTTACATGTTTGATGTTTTGTGCATTGTGAAGTTTTTGCATTGATTTTGAAGTTTTAAAGTACTGTCGTAGAATGTGATTTATCTTGGTCACTGAGTTTTTTGGCACTAAATCCCTTAAATCTGCCTCCTGTCAGAGTGTCTTCACCCTCCGCTTCACCTTTTGCTTCCCTGCCCTTCCCCAGGCAGGAGCTGAAATTGCTTTGCTCCTGCCTGGATCCCCAGGGCCTCCAGCGTGCCTGGTACATTAATACTGTCACTTCTTGAGTCAACGAGATGCTTGGGGCAGGAGCATGGGGTGCGGGGGGCGCAAGGAGTGGGGATCAGGGGCGCAGAAGGGACAGTGGGGGAGGGGAGCAGAGATGGAGGGTTGGGGCGGTTCCGGGAGGGGGCGACTGCGAAGCCGCGTGGAGGCACTGGGTGAGGAGGGACTGGGCGGAGGGCAGGCAGAGATCCCAGGAGGGTGTGGGGGCGGAGGCGCCGGAGCGGGCCAGGCAGCTCCACCTCCTGGAGGCAGAAGCTGCTGCAGACACTGCTGCTTTCTGGGTTGCGGGTGTCTGTGAGTGTCCCTACTTCCCCCAGTGCGCACGCCCCTGCCCCAGCGAGAGGCTGAGGCCGAGGCCGGCTGGAAGAGCAGGTGGGGCCCCAGGTCCCAGCACGGCACTGCTGCCCCACCCCCTGCAGGGATCTTCCGGCCGCAGGTGTCCGCCCCCACAGGTGTCTGTCCCGTGCAGGTGTCCCTCCTGTGCAAACGTCCGTCCACTGCAGGTGGCCGTCCCACGTAGCAGTTTGTGCGCTCTTGCTCCCTGCCGCTCCCCGCCCCCCGCAGGTGTCTCTCACCCGAACTCGGCCATGGTGGACGTCTTGGGCGGCCGGCGCCTGCTGAGCCGCGACGGCGCGTGGGTGGAGGCCGAGGCTGCGCTGCAGAACAAGGTGGTGGCTCTGTACTTCGCCGCGGGCCGGTGCCCGTCCAGCCGCGACTTCGCGCCGCTGCTCCGCCGCTTCTACGCCAAGCTGGTGGCGGAGGCGCGGTCCCCCGCGCCCTTGGAGGTGGTGTTCGTGTCCGCGGACCGCAGCGAGCGGGAGATGCTGGACTTCATGCGCGAGCAGCACGGCGCCTGGCTGGCGCTGCCCTTCTACGACCCCCTCCGGCAGTGAGTGGGTCAGGGCTGGGTAGCCCCGCGGAGCTCCTCCCCTACCGCGCGCAGGCCTCTCCCCTGTCCCGTCCCTAGTGCTCACCGCTCCAGCCACCCAGCGGCTCCAGAGGGGCTGCCGCCTCTCCCGGGGCTTGGGGAACCTTGCCTTGTTCCCCTTGCCCGGCCGGCTGCTGAGGCTGCTGCAGGGGTCGACACCCCCCTCAGAGGGGCTCGGGACTTGGGGAGGAGTGTGGAAGCAGGAGAGGGAGCCTCAGAAGGCTTAGGTCAGAACTGGGGACACTGTGGGTGCTGCCACGGTCAGCGGCCCTCAGGGGTGGGGGGCAGCAGGGTCACCAAGGCTGGAGGAATGCCTTCCCTGCTGGCCTGGGTACAGTTTGACTGTGATTTCCAAACTGTAGAAAGAACCAAGCCTCTGGAGTCCAGCAGAGTTAATGACAGAGGCCAAGAAAATTCACCAAGGAGAAGAGGGAACAGTGGGAGGGGGTGAGGAGGGGGGACCTGAGGTGAGGAGGGAGGATGTGGTGGGGAGAAGAGAGAAGGTAGGAGAGAAATTGAAGGAAAGAGAAAGTGGGATGGAGGAAGTGGGATAAAGGAGGTGGGAGGGAGGAGGGAGGACAGAGAAAGTCGGATGGAGGAGGTAGGGAGGAGGTGGGGGTAGGAGGAAGGACACAGAAAGTGGGAGAGGGGAGGGAAGGACAGAGAAGGTGGGAGGACAGAAAAGGGAGCATGGAGGAGGTAGGAGGGAGGAGGAAGGAAAGAGAAGGTGGGAGGTCAGAGAAAGTGGGAGGAAGGAGGTGGTGGTGAGGAGGAAGAAGGCAGGAGGGAGCATGGTTCGGCTCTCAGCAGGGCTGGCAGAGTGGAGTGAGCAGGACACCGACTGTCCGTTGAGGTCTGTGCTGTGGCAACAACCTCCAGACTTGGGTCTACATAGCTCCTCGCAACTGTGTTACCCCAGCATCCCTGTAACAGATGTGGAGTGAGTTTCTGGGTGTGTTTTCCAGGGCCACGCTTTTTTCTCTGGGGGCTGTTAGTCAGTGTGGTGTAACACCGCCCCCCCCGCCCCCGTCCCCCTTAACCCACAGGGTGGGTGATCGTGAGGAGGTGAGTCTCAAGCCTTCCAAGTGGACGCCTCGTTCCGGGAAGGTCTGACTGATGGTTGGGGTACGTGACAGTGAAAGTAAGCCTGAGTGGGGATGTAGCGAGGATGGGTCTCAGGGATTTACCTGGCAAAAGATGTGTTACCAGGTCTCTTCTAGTGGTAGTTGTGAAATGGCTCTGACCTGCTTAGTACTCAAGTCACTTGGAGCTTTTGAGTGAACACACTCAGTTTGGAAGGTGACAGTGTGACCGTGTGGGTAGTCGGGCAGAGCTGGGGGTCTGGGCAGAGCCCGCTCTGGGGTTTTTTGAGTGGTGATGGAGGCGAGGTGTTCACTGCCCAGTGTCACAGTGTTCCTGTGTCTCATTTGTGAGTTTGGAGCTGTGGTGTGGTTGTGTGCCCCATTTCACAGATGCACTGCCAAGGCACCGAGGGGGCCTGTGCTCCTCACTCTGGAACCTGACTTTATGCCCTGGTGCTTCCTTTCCTCTTCCTCTCCCCTCCAAGGGGTTCCAGGGGACCACGAGCCTCAGCCCCTCTGCTCAGCCTCGCCTGGGGAGGGCCTGGCCAGGTTCCTCCTGGTTCTCCTGGGATGTGGTCACAGCCCCTGAGGTCCACTGCCTGCAGCCGAGCAGTTCGGGGCCTGGGCGGCCAGCCTGGTCTCCGGAAGAAGCCAGCCTCAGTTTTCCTTCTATGAGGTTAGCTCCTTGTCCTTCCACTTCCCAGATGGGACCTCATTAGTGCTCCTTGCAATTTCTATGGTAGGAAGTGAGCTATTCCATGGGAATATATGGAGCTGCACCCCGAGTTCTGCTCATTCCAGCCAGAATACACAATCAGATCACAGGCAACATGGAAATAGCTCGCACAGGGACACCTGCAGGCAGCCTTTGGGGAAGTTTCTGGAGGTGTGTGGAACAAGGCACACTGTGTGGTGCCTGGGGAGGTGGGGCCAGGAAAGGCGTCACCTGGGCCCCACTCAGTTTGTCATGGTCAGGGACCCTGGGCTGTCTTCCCAATGGCCACCCACTGTGACTACTGACCTGTTGAGTCCAGGATGAGGAGGAGAACTCAGCAAGAGCCCCCATGGGCGTTCCCTGGGCATGGCCAGTGGCCCGGATGGCTGCTGGGCGACCACAGCCCTCCTGCCTGGGCACATACTTGCTGACTGACATCCCTGCAGTTGGTGCCTCTGAGCAGCCTTGAGTGTAGGGGTGACACCATGTCCCGTCTTCCTGCCCTTTGTTACTGGCCAAGTGCCCGAGCCTCCAATTCTGAGTCTGCCAGCAGGAATTCCTGTCTTCCACTGTCACATGCAAAGCCCACTCCATGGCGATTTTCATGGAAGTTATGATCGCTCTGGTACTTCAGCAGGCCCCCAGTCCGCTCTGGCTTCGACTGCCCCCACCATGGGCCCAGTGGATGGATGCCTCAGCGTCTAGGCTGACAGGTCTGCGTTGGACGGAGAAGACAGTTGGCTGTGGCTTCATTTCTTGGGTAGAGAATGGCCCCATTAGAGCTGTCCCCTTGGTGAGGTCCAGTGGGTGCTGCTGCTAAGCTTCTCGACAAGCCCTATGTTCCAGCTCCCCCGGCCTCCTGACCCAGTACGTCCCTGTCAGGTGCCGATTCTGCTGAGTCTGTTTTTCTCCTCCTTGCTACTTCCCTCACTTAGGCCCTGGACCACTGGCATATTCTCACTCATTCCCTCTGCCTCAGTGTCCACATCTGATGAACTCTTGTTCTGGAACCTTTCTCCTCTTTCAAAGGCAGTCTGGTCCCACCGGGGCTACCCCCGCTCTCTGGGGCTCAGTCCATGTTTTGTCTGCCCTACATTCACCTCCTGTTGCCCCTTTTGCACCTGTGTTCCCGCTAGACTGGACGGCTGGTGTTCCAGAATACCCCATACCTTTCCCACCTCCAGAGCTTGCCCAGGTGCTGCAGCCACCCGACCCTGGAGCCCCCCTTCCCCGCTGGCAGCCCCTCCACGTGCCCTGGGGACACTGCCCCCCTGTGAGGAGTGCCTCCGAAGTCTCTAAGCTTGGGGAAGACCCTGTTCACTGCTTGCTGCCTGTGGGCTGTGTTTCGGTGGGCGGCTGGAGCAACTGGAGAGATTTGCTGGCCCACAGTCTGCCGGGGGGCCAAGATGGGAAGAGGCTGGAACTGGGGTTGCTATGGCAACCCGGAAGGGGTCTTGCCAGGGAGGAGGAGGCGCTGTGTTTGGTGAAGGGAGGGATCCGGGACTGCAACAGCGCCCAGTGCCCAGGGCTGGGGGGAACTCGGATGCCCCCAGACAGTCACAGTGCTCTGAGTTCTCACACCTGCGATGTGCGCGGCTACAGGGCTCTCCTTTCCAAGGCACAGCCTGTTTGCTGGGGACACAGTGGAGATGCTTACGAGCCTCTCCAGGTGGCTCCAAGGTTATGGTTGTCCCCAGGTGGAGGCTGCCAGGGCGGGGATTTGAGGGCCCAGAAGGCTGACTCTGAAGATATTCTGGAGCAAATGTCTATTCCAGACTCCACCTCACTCCCCTAAGCCCGGCTTGCTTTGTGCCCCCACCAGTGGTGTCAGAGCTGGTTTTATGTTGCGAAGGATGAGAACACAGCAACAGCTCAAACATTAAACAGCGAAGGTTGTTGATCAGCTTAACTTCAACACCCCGTAGCCAGGAGCCAGAGTCGAAGGGGTAGGGAGGCCAGTGAGGACAGTTTCCTCGGGTTTCTGCCATGTGTGCTCCGTGCTCAGGCTGCCCCCAGTGGCCACCGGGCAAATCCAGTCCCTCCTTGAGGGATCAGAAGGGCTGCTGTGTCTCAGGCTGCACACCTCACACCTTCTCTTCCCTGGCACACACGCAAGTGCTCTGCGGAGGCTCATGGGTTCTAAGTTTGCTGGGTACCCGTCCCGGGCCTGGTTAGCGGAGCCATTGGACAGTAGCCCAGCTGGAACTGGCGGGGGTTCCCCATCAGTAACAGCTAGTGTTTTTTGAGCATTTATGTGCCGATCCCTTAGTGGTGCTGTACGTCTATTTATCATCTCACTCTCCCAATAACCCAGGCAGAAGGGTTCTGTTTTTCCCATGGCGTAGGTGAGGACTCTGGGGTGTAGGGAGGCCGGCTAGCCTGCCCCTGTGCCTCAGCTAGTTCATGCCAGAAAGTGCAGGGCTGCAGATGGCAGGCGGCAAGCCACAGGCTCTACCGCCCAGACTGTCAAGGGCACGTTCTCAGCTTCCCTCCTTGGGCTGCCTGGATGGTGGGGGCAGGGTGGGGTAGGGGATGCAGGAGACTGGCAGGCCTGAACCCCTGCGAGATCGCAGGCTCCACCCCCACCAGCAGGGGCAGGAGACTCTCCCTGCTGAGGCAGCTGCTGCTGGTCGGGGGACCCCATGCCCAGAGCCCCACTCCTGCCAACCAGCTCGTCCACAGTGGGGTCTGGATCAGGAGCAGCCGCCACATGGGGAACCTGGCAGGGTTGTGGGTGCAGAGTCAGGAGTGTGTGTGGGCTCCTCCAGGAGAGGCCCTCACCACCCTCTAGGGCGCCCCAGGGACCCCTGGCCTTGGGGATAAGCCCTATCGGGACCCTAGTGAGACGGTGGGCATGCTGCCCACAGCAGAGGTCCAGACAGAACCTATCAGCCCCGGCTGCGGGACAGAGCCTCTCATGGGCCACTGCTGTTTGCTGCAGCCCTTATACCAAGGGCTACCGGGAGGTTCCTCTTTTCTTCATGTTTGTTTTATGCTTTGGGGGAAAGCTAATTTGTTAGGCATTTCAAATTTCTGGGGTTGTACAGGATTCTGAAATCACTGGGGGGGGCGTCCCCCCCCCCTTCCCTGGGTCCCCCCCTGCCCCCCCCCCCCCCCCCGCCCCACTGCCCCAAGTTGCCAGAACTGTGGGCTGGTGAGCAAGGCCCGGGCTTGTCCCCCGGTTGGTGTCTCTCCGCATCTGTGCCTTGCGTTTTTAGGCCTGGTGTCTGTGTCAGTAATGACCACAAGCTGACTTGTTTCTCTCAGACATTTGTGACTCCTCACGCGAGTAACTAGGGGAAACCATGCAAACTGGCTTCTAGAAGCTGCTGGAGGGGTAGCCAGCCCTGTGTGGGGTTTCTTGGGGAACCTGCAGTCTGGGCATCGGTGGGGTGTTGCAGGAGTGAGCACGCCCACCCGCGGGCCTCCACAAGCAGGTGGAGTCCACTGCGGGCCAGGACTGGCCACCGCCAGACTTCCAATGCTCCCGTGTCTTCCTCTCTCCCTCAGGCGGTCCTGGCAGAGCCCTGCTCCATGCGTCTTCCCTGGAGCCAGGTCCGGTTTGTCCGTCTGTGACGTCTGTGTTCGGTGTGCCTTTCCCAGCGTCTGCCGTGGTGGCACTGGGCGCGCTTCTCGGATCAAACACACGGCTCGTCTACACAGAGACTTGTTCAGAAAAGAGTGTTTAAGACCACAGCTTTCTGTGTCTAATGGTGTCTGCAGCTGGGGGTCCAGAGAATATTCTGCATTGTTCTCTTCTACTGGGGTTGTAGTCTGAGCTGCTGTTTTATGGGTAGCATACTGTTATTTAGTTTTTAAACTCATTCTAAAAATTATTTTGTTTGGTTTCCAGTTTCCAATTAGCACAATTTCTGTGTGCTATTGATTATTTGAAACATTTATTTTTTAAAGATTTTTTAATATGTTTGAGAGAGGATGATTATGAGCAGGTGGAGGGGCAGAGGGAGAAGCAGACTCCCTGCTGAGCAGGGAGCCTAACGAGGGACTTGATCCCAGGACCCTGAGATCATGACCTGAGCCAAAGGTAGATGCTCAGCCAGAGCCATCTAGGTGTCCCTGATTATTTGAAATATGTTAAGATCCCTTTGTGGCTGAGAGCATGCTGGTTTTGTCACTGTCTCATGGATGTTTGAAAATGATGCCATCTCTGTTGGGTGGAGATGGATACATTTTTTCCTGCTTGATTTAGGCTTGTGTTTGTTTCATCTGGGAGCCGGAAGGCAGCAGGAGGGCCGTGGTGGAGGTATCACAGGGAGATATGGCACAGGAGGCTCTCACGTGCATCTTTCCTTCCACGAAGACCACAGTCCTGAGGGGGCAGATCAGGGAGATCACTTACTGTTTGTGGGAGTTTTGTGGGAGCCCTGAGCGGGCTGGCCTGGGGAGTAGGGAGTGATTTCCCTCAGCCGCCCTGTCTTGAGGATAGTAATCCCAGGGAAGGTTATGGGGAAGAATCAAGAAGGTGGGTGCTCCTTCCCATAAATGAACACAATTTGTAAAAAGGTCTCACAGGGCTGCATCTGACAGGAAACAGAGCCAAGAAATGTGTCATAACGTTGATCAGCCTGTCCTCGAGTTGCTGGGCAGAAAGTCTCACATGGCTTTGCGTTTGTCTAGAGCTCACGGAGTGTTCACTTGGACTGCTGTGTGTCCCCGATATTTTTCCGCTTCTTGAATGTAGGAGGGATATAAATTGACTGGGGATGTCTGTGGTTTTAGAATTGCACTGTCCAGTATGGTTGACACCTGCCACATGTGACTACTGAAATTTAAATTAGCCGAGATGAAAAAAATCATTTTCTCAGGCCTGCAGGACTCTTCAGCTGCTCCGAGGTCCCACACAGCTGTGGGTTGGAGCAGCTCAGGTCTGGAGTCCCTCCCCCACTTCCGTTGCTCCTCTAGCGTAGCCCTGGCTTAGGACAGGCTGGCAGCAGGGAGAGCAGGTGCAGAGGGCACAGGGGAGGGTGCGCCGGCAGGCTAGGGCAGAGGCTTAGCAGCGTCCGCAGCCCTCGGGGAGGCCCTGGTCCCCTCCCACGTGCCCGTGGGGACCTGTGCGGCCCCTGCTGACCCGGCGCTCCCCACCCTCTTCTTTCCCGCAGTGAGCTGAAGACCAGGTACCACATCTCAGTCACCCCCAGGCTGGTGGTTGTGAAACCGAGCGGGGAGGTCATCACCGACAAAGGGCGGAAGCAGGTCCGCGAGCAGGGGCTGGCCTGCTTCCAGAACTGGGTAGCGGCCGCCAACATCTTTCAGAATTTCTCCGGATGACGTGGGGGTCTCCAGGCCCGGGCAGGTGTGCAAGCACGGGAGAAGGAGAGCTGGCTGGTTTCCAATCTCTGCCTACTGTGGAGGAACTCGTGTCAGACCAGGGGTGCAAACACCGCCCAGAAAGAGTATCCTCTGGCAGCCTGTGAGGAGTTAATGTGATGATTAGCGTAGCTTTCTCAGCAGGAGCTGGAGCTTGAACAGGCTCATGTGGAGCTCCTGGAAACATGTATTTATACCCGCTCTTCAGGTGAGATGATACATTTATTGATACATCGTCCGGAGCTCTGTTTATGTTGGTGACTTGCTCTCACCCCTGCATTTATTGCCAAGGTTTGCGGAAGCCACATGCTTTAATAAAGAAAGCTATTTCCACCGGAGCCCCTGATCTCCTTCTTCCTCGCGGCAAACCAAGCGCTTGCAAGGAGGGAGGAGTGCTGTGGGAAGCTGTTCTCAAACGCTTGATTCTGTGTTTCCAAGTCCCTGAGCTTTTCCAGCCTGTGTCTGCATCTTCAAGATCCGATGCGCGTCTCTGAGAGGCTGCTGGTGGATCCGGGAAGCAGAGGCCCACGCGCTGTCTTTGCAAAGAAGAGGAGGAGGTGGTCTGTCTGGGGTTCCTCGCCAGCTCCTTGTGCTCATGCAGCTGGGATCCAGAGATACTGGGTCCCCTCTGTCCCAGTTCCCACCTGCTCCCCGGCCGGGACCCTCGGCTGAGGGTTTGCGGCATGGCTGTCTCTCAGAGGGCACCACACAGACACCCACATACTAAACACACACACAGGACACACACACACACACAGCACAGACACACATGATACAAACAACACATGCACACAGCACACACCCTAGGTGTGTTCTCTGAGTCCCTTTCCACCTCCCTCCTCCGTAGCCTTCTGCTCTGGGTTCATGGATACACAGAAAGTGTGTGGTGTGTCTGTCTGTCAGGACAGTTTTTTTTTTTTTTTTAAGATTTTGTTTATTCGAGAGAGATGGAGAGACAGAGGGACAGGGAGCACAAACGGGGCAGGGGCGGTGGGAGAGGGAGAAGCAGACTCCCTGGTGGGTGAGGAGCCCAATGGGGGACAGGATCCCAGGACCTGAGACGAAGACAGATGCTGAACCCACTGAGCCACCCAGGCATCCCAGGACAGTAAAAGGAATTTAATGTCTTTTTTCTGTGTAGTTTCTATTAATCTGAGTTCTTTCCCTCCTTGTTTATTGAGGAGGACTTCAGGGCACCCTGGCGGGTTTGGGGGATTAAGTAGAAGCCCATCGGTTTTCAAAGATCGAAGGGATCCTGTGGGGTTGGTGAGACCACAGTGGGGTTGGGCTCTGAACTCCCCTCTCAGGTGGTCTTACTTAGTCATTTTGAAGGTGACCCCTCCTGCGCTGGCTGTGTCTGTCAGGAAACCCCCTCCCTTGGCCCACTGTGGGCAGAGGCCTGGCCTCGGCTCCTCTGGGTGCCCTGGGTACAGTCCTCTGATTCACCTGGGCTCCCGTGCTCCAGTCCCGTCTTTGGCATGAGAGGCCTCACAGCCACCTCTGGATGCAGGTGTGGAGGGTGTCCCTGGGGCAGGTCTGATGACTCCAACTATGTCCATGGTCCTTGGTGCCGGCACGAGCTCGCACGGCTGTGGTCCTTGGGACTGGCACCACCTGCTCCCACTAGGCCTCCCAGCACATCCTACTGTTGTTCGTTCTTGTGTTTCCCCAACTTTAAACCCTGTTGTGATTCACTCTGTGAGGCTGCGCAGTTGCATGTGTTCAAATGGCGGGTTCGCTTGAGCGGCGAGAAGTTCATTTTCACGTGCCATACCACAGGGAAGTTTCCTTTTCTAAGTTTTTATTTAATTTAGTGAACAGACCAAGTGCTGCGTGAGCCTCCTTTTTTGTCTTGGATGGCATGTCTCATCTTCCCATGGCCCCCAGTTGTGTCTCCATGTTTTCTGTGACCTCTGCATCTGCCTGACATGGTCGTGGAGGAGGAGTGTGGCTCAGGACTGTCTCTGCACGCCGAGGGTGTGGTAGCAAGTCACCCTGGATAAATCTGGATGTGGGTTAGAATTCTGGACCACATCTCTCTGCCCCACAGGGAAGCTCCCTGCAGCCACGGGCTCAGTCCTGCCATCAGAGAACAGCAGGGGGTAGATAGTAGGATTTCCACTGGTTACCTGCCTCCTGAGACTCCTCCTGCTTCTCCCCAAATACAGCTCCAGAATAACTCTGTCTCTTGCCCCTCCTCTCTCAGTTCCTCACATACGGTGTGTTTAGTGTCTGTGTTCAGTCTGCTAGGCTCCCTGGTCCTCCTGATGCTGCATCCCGGACATGGGGACTGGCTTTCCTGGAAGAGTCACCCTAACCCACTGACTGAAAGAAAGCCCCAGCGGGACAGGACCAGGGGGTGGGGTGGACTTGTCCATGGAGCAGGTTCTTAGGGAAAGAAGTTTGGTGAGACTTCTGGATGACAGGGGCCAGAAAGAAGATTTTTCCCAGCCATGGCAAAGCTCTCTGCTGCTGCTGGGTTTTTTAAGACTCTCTGCGGGGTCCCTCTCTCCTCCCCCCTCCCAGCTTTAGAAGGAAAAGTACCCGCATGCGTGGGGGCCTCCCCTTCCGGGGGGCATGGGGGCGCCCCAGGGCTTCTGCTGTGGAGGTCTCTGCCGGAGGGCCTGCTGCCTCAGGCTTCTTGGGACTGCTCTAACAGCGCAGTTGGTTAAATGCACACACGAACACAAACGGCCTGTGCAGTCGGAGCTCATCCCAAAGTGCACAATCGATGGATTGGAGAGGTTCTTTCCTGCATCCCTGCCCACCGTCCACCTGGGACAGGTGCCTTCCCCATGGCCATGAGCCTTCTGCACTCGGGTGCTCTCTGCACACTCTGCCTCTGGTTGCCCGCCTGCCTCCCCCGGGGCTTTAAAGGCCCAGAGGGTCAGTGCAGGACCCTGAGGGTTGGAAGGAACAGGCCATGGGGAGGAGGGACTGCTCTGGGGCTGTGTCAGGAAAGCTCTCTGAGTCTGGATGATAAATAGAACTTGTATGACTTGGGTTTACATAAGAAGTGGCTTTTTCTGTGACAGGACTAGTGGACAGGTGACTACCAGAGCAGTTGACCCAGACACACAGGGACTCCTGCCCATGTTGTCCATGGAGCACCCATGGGGACGGGAAGGGTCAGCAGGGACCCACAGAAGTGTCAGCAGGCTGAGCAGGGCCCCCGGGCTCCCAGGCCGCCAGCCGACGCCCACCCCTTGGTCAGGGCAGCCACGTGGGCAGGCCTGTTCCCACAGAGTGCGTTCTGCGCGCTGAGAACATACAACACGCACAGGCTGAGGGCTTCCTGTTTGGGGTGGCATGGGTTCGAACTGGCCCCCTGCCTGTCACTTGGATGGCCACCACGGTCCCTGTCTGCGCTCAGGGTGTCCACTCCCCACCTCCCAGAATGTGCAGTCCACACAGCAACGAGGTCTGTCCTTCACGTGGAAATCTGGTCGTGTTATGTCCCTACTTCCCAGTGCCTCAGACTGCGGCCAGGTCTTCCTGGGACCGCCCTCCCATTTATCTGGGTCCTCTCGCTCCTCCCAGACAAACCCCCCATCCTCCCTCCCCATGAGTGTCCTGGCCACCTTCTCACTATGCTCATGCTGCCTATGTGGCTCCTCAGAGGCTCCTTCCCTGACCTTCCTATGCAGATGGCACCCTGCTCCTTCTGTGTGTCACTGGCATGGACAGCCTTCTCTGGGTTTCCATCTGTCTCTCTAGTTGTCTGTCAGTCATTCATCATATCTATCACCTATCACATTGTTCTAGTGTGTTTGTGTCATATCCATCATCCATCCAACTATCTATCCATCCACCCATCCATCCATCTATCCGTCCATCCACCTATCCATCCATCATGTCTATCTACATCTTTCTCCCTGACCAGCAAGTAACTACTTTGAGAGCAGAAACTGCATTCATAACTGGTTCACAGAACCGGTATGTACTCGATGCTGCGTGGTTACTTGTTGACTGAATTGCAAGATTCTATTTATTTATGTATTCATTTATTTGAGAGAGAGAGTGCATGAGTATGAGCTGGGGAAGGGGAAGGAAAGGGTCTCGAGCAGACTCATCATTGAGCGCAGAGCCGACCTGGGGCTCAGTCCCACGACCCTGAGCCAAAATCAGACCTGGGCCAAAATCAAGAGTCAGACACTCAACCGATGGAGCCTCCCAGGTGCCCCTGACTTACTGGATTCTAACGTCTACTGAGCATGACTGTGGGCGGCCCCGTAGAGACTGTGTCCGGCCGCAGATCAGCGGGCTTGATGCTGACCTTGAACCGTCGCTGTGTTGAGCACCTGTGTCCAGGGGACTCCTGGCATTTCTGTTGGAACACAAGGAATTTGTGCGTGAATTGGTAAAGAGTGAAGGAGAGATAGGTCTCTCCCTTTCTGAGGTGGGTGTGGGGAATAAACCTTTCTCTGCTCGGTTGGTCATGGCAATGGCTGCGTTTCGACAGCTCAGGCGTCTCTAGTCCGGGCGACAGCACAGTGGAGCCCTCCTGAGGCCAAGTGCACCTGCTGCTTCCCTGGGCAGCAGCCGGCGTGAGTCTGGCAGGGTACCCACGCTCCCTCTGAGCTCATGGCAGCCTTGACTCCTGACCCTGAGCTCTGAGTCTGCCTACAGGCTCCCTGTCTGAGTCCAGCCCCGCCTTAGGGGCGGCCACTTACTGTGTGGCCACAGGTGGCCCCTGTCATGCCAGGCCAGGCCCCCCAGCCAGGGGAACCTAGGAAATGTCGGGAAGGTGCTAGGTGCACGGAAATACGCATCCAGCCCATTGTGACGTGGCTCCTGCCTGGAGGAGCTGAGTGTTTGGCGATGTTTCATTGTAACTAATTTATATCCCATCAAGTGGCCACCTGTGGCTCACGGCTGCACCTGGGACTGTGTCAGTGACGGCATACTCAGCTGCCCAGACTCCGTCCCCTGGCTGGCCCTAGTGGACAGCTGGTGCCGTG